TTGATGCCCAATGCTGCTGCCGCACCTGGGTAAAGCAATTTGGGAGAGAAAGGGAGGGAGGGAGGGAAAAAAGACACTACAGTACTGTGCTGACTTCACTGTATGAATCTGCAGTAGTCGAGTACAGTACCCTTCTCGCCTCTTGTTATCCCTTTTAACATCTATCCACCTACCAACCTACCTCACCTCCCTTCCCTCACTCAGGCTTCCACGAGCACAGTACTCAGTATTGATACCTTGCACTCTCCCAATTTCCACAAACCCGTGGGGAAAAGAGCGAAAAAAAAAAAAAGACCCCCCCCAACAAATTCCCTTCACAACCCAAGCCCGCACAGTATGATAGATCGTTATTACCGAAAATTTCATCCCACAAAAAACTCCCATTCCAGTATCCAAGCCTGTCTCCCGCGTGCAGAACGCACGCAAGCAAGCGCACACACACCGCACACACAAGCACCCACTCAGTGCTGTAAGGCTTGACAAGGTCAGAAATAAAGGAAGCCGGAAAAAGACTCCTATCGGATGCGCATGCATGATGGGCAGGGAGGCAGGCAGGCAAGCGGACAAAGCAAGATAGACAGATACTCGAGTCGATAGATACTACAGATGGGGGTGAAAGAGTGGGAGTGGAAGAAGAAATAAGAATTAGACTACTCGAGCACAGAACTTTCCCCCACACCCCCTGTTATCTTGCTCAAAGGGTTGAAAACCTACCGGCGGAAGGAAGGTCCGATGTTGAGGACAAAGCTGCGCACCCCAACTCACCGCTCAGTGCGAAAAGGAGAAGAAAAATTTTTGCGTGCCGACAAGCCCACTCTGAAATAGTAACGCTGGGATGGCTGTTATTCTAGACATATTTGGGTACAATACACGCACCGATACATCGCAGCGGCAAACAAGCAGCCTGCGCGCTTCACAATTCCACATTCCAACCTCCAACCCCCCAGTATACATACACACAATGTCCATACCGGTACCGTACAGTATTTTCCTTTCTCTTCCTTCCTATCACACTTGTACTTACTATTTCCTCCCTGCTCCCTCCTCCCGGCACCTTAAGTATTTGCCGAAAAATCGGTTTCAGATTCGACATGGATCTATCCTAGGAACTTTGAAGCTCGGTCCACTCCCGAATCCCTGTGAACGTTCAGCGAGTTTATGCGGGAGTGGGGACCGTGACGGCATACGGGTTTGATATTATCCTTCTTTTTTGGCCATGTTTCTCCGTGCC